ACTGGGGGTCATGGTGGGGGCTACTGGGGGTCATGATGGGGCTACTGGGGGTCATGATGGGGGGCTACTGGGGGTCATGATGGGGGCTACTGGGGGTCATGATGGGGCTACTGGGGGTCATGATGGGGGCTACTGGGGGTCATGATGGGGGCTACGACGGGGGTTATGTTGAGGGTCATGCCTACTGAATACCTTCAGTTAATAAAATGCTAGATGTTTCCTCTATAGCAGAGCCAGCAGGTTAAGAAGAGGAGTCAACTCTCCTCAGACATTCCAGACCAAACTGCCTTCCATGCCTTTGGGGGAGTATACTGAGTTGAACTACTCATCATGAGAACAACTGGATGAAATGAACCAGCAGTGAACTACCAAATGGACTACCGTGGACTTACTCATATCTCAGACACAGTGTTAATCCACTGTCCTGCCAGACAGCCTAGCTAGACCAAACAGAAGAGTCACGTCCAACATTCCTTTCCTCCGTTGTCTGAGTAGATGGAACGGAATTCTAAAATAGAAGTGAGTTCTGATGTTAGAATGAGCTCTACATAATGGATCACTGTTGATACATTCGTGTCTTCTGTTCCCCCGGCAGTGTATATACTATGAGGGAGGGGGCACTACTTAGGGCCCCATAAGACTGGTAAAAAGTAGTGCACTACATAGAGAATAGGGTGCCTACTTTCTCCTGTTCCCCTGTGGTGTACAAGGTCCTTTCTCCTCTGAACAAGGCCTGACCATCCACTGACCTCACATTGTAGAAATATTTCCTTTGCAGGGATGTTTCAGTCCCCATCTGGAAGCACACGGCTCGTACTGAGGCTTACACTGAAGCTTACCATGGCTCAAATGGCACCCTATATCCTACATAGTGCACTACTTTAGACCAGAGCCCTATGGCACCCTATTCCCTATATAGTGCACTACTTTAGACCAGAGCCCTATGACACCCTATTCCCTATATAGTGCACTACTTTAGACCAGAGCCCTATGACACCCTATTCCCTATATAGTGCACTACTTTAGACCAGAGCCCTATGACACCCTATTCCCTATATAGTGCAATACTTTAGACCAGAGCCCTATGGCACCCTATTCCCAATATAGTGCACTACTTTAGACCAGAGCCCTATGGCACCCTATTCCCTATATAGTGCACTACTTTAGACCAGAGCCCTATGACACCCTATTCCCTATATAGTGCACTACTTTAGACCAGAGCCCTATGACACCCTATTCCCTATATAGTGCACTACTTTAGACCAGAGCCCTATGGCTCCCTATTCCCTATATAGTACACTACTTTAGACCAGAGTCCTATTCCCTATATAGTGCACTACTTTAGACCAGAGTCCTATTCCCTATATAGTGCACTACTTTAGACCAGAGTCCTATTCCCTATATAGTGACCTACTTTAGACCAGAGCCCTATGACACCCTATTCCCTATATAGTACACTACTTTAGACCAGAGTCCTATTCCCTCTCATATCAGTGAACTTTCCTATGCATACTTTAGACCAGAGCCCTATGCCCCTATTCCCTATATAGTACACTACTTTAGACCAGACCATGGCTCCCTATTCCCTATATAGTGACACTACTTTAGACCAGAGTCCTATTCCCTATATAGTGCACTACTTTAGACCAGAGTCCTATTCCTATATAGTGACTACTTTAGACCAGAGCCTATTCCCTATATATGCCTACTTTAGACCAGAGAGCCCTATGACACCCTATTCCCTATATAGTCCTCTTTAGACCAGAGTCCTATTCCTATTGCATCTTTAGACCAGAGCCCTATTCCTAATTCACTACTTTAACGAGTCCATCCTATTAGTGCACTACTTTAGACCATGACCCTATTCCCTATATAGACACTACTTTGAGTACC